GAAATAACGTTATATTCTTTACCGGTCGTGCCACATGCCAGAGCACACGAAATATACGACCGTGCTGTTTAATGTGTTCGCCTTCCGGCTGCAACTAGCTTTAGCTCATCTGACAGCTGAGTACAAATTAGTACAAGATATTAAGGATAAAATTTTGAAAATTTTACCTGGCTGCAACAAACAATAGCAATGATAGTGCTATTCGGCTAAAAAGTTTTTTATCGCTAAGTTATTTGTCATTTCTGAACTAGGACATGGTTTCGGTAGTTATTTAATACTACTGATGAACAGTTATGGCGTATTTTAATGCGGTACGCTAGTTATACCTCGGCAGATTATTCACCATAACCGGAGTTTTAAGGGTGGCGGGGCAGATGGGAAAACTGACACGGTTTCGTAGGTGAGGTTTCAATTAAATTTTGTCGAATAGCCGGGGATCCGGCTTCAAACACGTTCCATCGTTTGTCGTTTTACCTGATCGCTTGCGCTTTGCCGGACGTTCAGTCACGAACCCGGGAACGAGACGGCGCAGAACGGAAAGGCTAGCAGATGCCAGCCAAGCGGCTAATGTTCCGGGACTGGTTAAAGCTATGAGCAGGTGCGACAGGCTGAGGTGGATGATGACGGCGATCAGCCCGAGCACGGACAAGTCGGCACCAGCGCGGCTCATATCCGTCAGATGGTCGGTCAGCTTGTCGCTGCAGCTGTCGTTGTGGATGCCCATCAACGGAGGCAGGTGATGATCCGTTGCGGAGGACGACGAGCACAGTTTCTGCACCGACGACCAGTTGTGACGGCTGTTTTCTAGCATGTACTCATCGAAACTGCTGAGGTCGGTCGCGCAGCGTAGCTTCATCGATACCTCACCTTTGCGATAGCGCATAAATCGGCTGCTCGACGGCGGCTCTTGACAGCACGTGAACGGCACCTTGGGTATGGCCATGAACCGCTCTGGGACGATCACGGTACACGGCACCATTCCGTTGTCCAGGAACTGGTTCATCATCGACCTGCAAGACTGCGAGTGTAGAGAAACGCGACGACTGGCGTCATCGTCCAGCTACTTACGAATACTCGAGGACGTGGTCTTGGTGTCCACAGCATTTCAGGGTTAACTGCACGAAGTCCACAAACTGCCTGTGCAGCTCCGAGTCGCCGCCGTTCAACGGCCCGTACTTGTACACCGCCTGCAGCAGGAGTTCATCCGCTACAACTGGTGCCGTTTCCTGGACCGTCGCAGCAAGGGGAGGGATCGTCAGACACATGGTGATCAGAAACGCGTCGAGGACCAACACCAGTTTCAGCCCGGTCCTGCTTCTCATCGTCAGCGACACGGCGGTGACCGCAGCCGACACCCAACAGAGTGCGGACGTGCAGACGCAAACCTGTGCCATTAATTCCACCAGCTCCGCCACTTCTATGTAAAGAACGCGGTAACGTGGAGTGGCCTACAACAACGCCTTTATAAGCACAGCCCAAACCGAATTCCGCTACATGCTTGGTCG